ACTCTCAACAATGTTATTCTTTCACTTCCCAAAGAAGTACGATTGATGTGTTTTGTATTTTAAACGAGCACAAATGGGACGTGCATAAGAAAAATAACGGAGCTCTCGACCCTAGTTTGGTTATCTATGACACATGCTCCAGATTTACTCCCGACCTTGATTTGTGATCGCATGTTGAGATGGCCCAATTGGTCTAAGGCGCCAGATTAAGGTTTTGGTTCGAAAGGGCGTGGGTTCAAATCCCACTCTCAACAATGTTTTTGTTTATAAAATAATGGAGCTCTCGATCCTAGTTTGGTTATCTATGACACCTACTCCAGATTTGCTCCCGACCTTGATTTGTGATCACATGTTGAGATGGCCGAGTTGGTCTAAGGCGCCAGGTTAAGGTTCTGGTCCGAAAGGGCGTGGGTTTTAATCCCACTCTCAATAATCTTTTTGTTTCACTTCCCAAAGAAGTACGATGGATGTGTTTTTGTATTTTAAACGAGCAGATGTGCATAAGAAAAATAACCGAGCTCTCGACCCTAGTTTGGTTATCTATGGCACATGCTCCAGATTTGCTCCCGACCTTGATTTGTGATCGCATGTTGAGATGGCCGAGTTGGTCTAAGGCGCCAGATTAAGGTTCTGGTCCGAAAGGGCGTGGGTTCAAATCCCACTCTCAACAATGTTTTTGTTTAAAAAATAATAGGTTCTGGTCCGAAAGGGCGTGGGTTCAAATCCCACTCTCAACAATGTTTTTGTTTAAAAAATAATCGAGCTCTGACCCTAGTTTGGTTATCTATGACACCTGCTCCAAATTTGCTTCCGACCTTGAATTGTAATCTTATGTTGAGATGGCCGACTTGGTCTAAGGTGCCAAATTAAGGTTTTGGTCCGAAAGGGCGTGGGTTCAAATCCCACTCTCAACAATCTTTTTCTTTCACTTCCCAACGAAGTACGCTTGATGTGCTTTTGTAATAACGGAGTTCTCGACCCTAGTTTGGTTATCTATGACACATGCTCCAGATTTACTCCCAACCTTGATTTGTAATTGCATGTTGAGATGGTCGAGTTGGTCTAAGGCGCCAGATTAAGGTTTTAGTCCGAAAGGGCATGGGTTCAAATCCCACTCTCAACAATGTTTTTCTTTCACTTCCTAAAGAAGTACGATTGATGTGTTTTTGTATTTTAAACGAGCACGGGACGTGCATAAGAAAAATAACAGAGCTCTCGACCTTAGTTTGGTTATCTATGACACATGCTCCAGATTTACACCCGACCTTGATTTGTGATCGCATGTTGAGATGGCCTAGTTGGTCTAAGGCGCCAGATTAAGGTTTTGGTTCGAAAGGGCGACAATGTTTTTGTTTAAAAAATAATCGAGGTCTCGATCCTAGTTTTGTTATCTATGACACCTGCTCCAGATTTGCTCCCGACCTTGATTCATGATTGTATGTTGAGATGGCCGAGTTGGTCTAAGGCGCTAGATTAAGGTTTCGGTCCGAAAGGGCGTGGGTTCAAATCCCACTCTCAACAATGTTTTTCTTTCACTTCCCAAAGAAGTACGATTGATGTGTTTTTGTATTTTAAACGAGCACGAATGGGACGTGCATAAGAAAAATAACAGAAGTACGATTGATGTGTTTTTGTATTTTAAACGAGCACGAATGGGACGTGCATAAGAAAAATAACGGAGCTCTCGTTGATGTGTTTTTGTATTTTAAACGAGCACGAATGGGACGTGCATAAGAAAAATAACGGAGCTCTCGATCCTAGTTTGGTTATCTATGACACATGCTCCAGATTTACTCCCGACCTTGATTTGTGATCGCATGTTGAGATGGTCGAGTTGGTCTAAGGCGCTAGATTAAGGTTCTGGTTCGAAAGGGCATGGGTTCAAATTCCACTCTCAACAATGTTTTTCTTTCACTTTCTAAAGAAGTACGATTGATGTGTTTTTGTATTTTAAACGAGCACGGGACGTGCATAAGAAAAATAACGGAGCTCTCGACCCTAGTTTGGTTATCTATGACACATGCTCCAGATTTACTCTCGACCTTGATTTGTGAAAGGTGCCACATTAAGGTTTTGGTTCGAAAGGGCGACAATGTTTTTGTTTAAAAAATAATCGAGGTCTCGATCCTAGTTTTGTTATCTATGACACCTGCTCCAGATTTGCTCCCGACCTTGATTCATGATTGTATGTTGAGATGGCCGAGTTGGTCTAAGGCGCTAGATTAAGGTTCTGGTCCGAAAGGGCGTGGGTTCAAATCCCACTCTCAACAATGTTTTTCTTTCACTTCCCAAAGAAGTACGATTGATGTGTTTTTGTATTTTAAACGAGCACGAATGGGACGTGCATAAGAAAAATAACGGAGCTCTCGTCCCTAGTTTGGTTATCTATGACACCTGCTCCAGATTTGCTCCCGACCTTGATTCATGATTGTATGTTGAGATGGCCGAGTTGGTCTAAGGCGCTAGATTAAGGTTCTGGTCCGAAAGGGCGTGGGTTCAAATCCCACTCTCAACAATGTTTTTCTTTCACTTCCCAAAGAAGTACGATTGATGTGTTTTTGTATTTTAAACGAGCACGAATGGGACGTGCATAAGAAAAATAACGGAGCTCTCGTCCCTAGTTTGGTTATCTATGACACATGCTCCAGATTTGCTTCCGACCTTGATTTGTTATCTCATGTTGAGATGGTTGAGTTGGTCTAAGGTGCCAGATTAAGGTTCTTGGTTTGAAAGGGCGTGGGTTCAAATCCCACTCTCAACAATATTTTTGTTTAAAAAATAATCGAGCTCTAACTCTAGTTTGGTTATCTATGACACCTGCTCCAGATTTGCTCCTGACCTTGATTTGTGATCTTATGTTGAGATGGTCGAGTTGGTCTAAGGCGCTAGATTAAGGTTTTGGTCCGAAAGGGCGTGGGTTCAAATCCCACTCTCAACAATTTTGTTGTTTCGATTGATGTGTTTTTTTAATAACCGAGCTCTCGACCCTAGTTTGGTTATCTATGACACATGCTCCAGATTTACTCCCGACCTTGATTTGTGATTGCATGTTGAGATGGCCGAGTTGGTCTAAGGCGCCAGATTAAGGTTCTGGTCCGAAAGGGCGTGGGTTCAAATCCCACTCTCAACAATGTTTTTCTTTCACTTCGTAAAGAAGTACGATTGATGTGTTTTTGTATTTTAAACGAGCACGGGACGTGCATAAGAAAAATAACGAGCTCTCATCCCTAGTTTGGTTATCTATGACACATGCTCCAGATTTGCTCCCGACCTTGATTTGTGATCTCATGTTGAGATGGCCGAGTTGGTCTAAGGCGCCATATTAAGGTTCTGGTCCGAAAGGGCGTGGGTTCCAATCCCACTCTCAACAATGTTTTTTTTTTTAAAAAAATAATCGAGCTCTCGACCCTAGTTTGGTTATATATGACACCTGCGCCAGATTTGCTCTCGTCCTTGATTTGTGTTTGCATGTTGAGATGACTGAGTTGGTCTAAGGCACCAGATTAAGGTTTTGGTCCGAAAGGGCGGGGTTTAAATCCCACTCTCAACAATGTTTTTCTTTCACTTCCCAAAGAAGTACGATTGATGTGTTTTTGTATTTTAAACGAGCACGAATGGGACGTGCATAAGAAAAATAACGGAGCTCTCGACCCTAGTTTGGTTATCTATGACACTTGCTTCAGATTTATTCCCGACCTTGATTTGCGATCGCAGATTGAGATGGCCGAGTTGGTCTAAGGCGCCAGATTCAGGTTCAGAAGTACGATTGATGTGTTTTTGTATTTTAAACGAGCACGAATGGGAAAATAACGGAGCTCTCGACCTAGTTTGGTTATCTATGACACTTGCTCCAGATTTGCTTCTGACCTTTATTTGCAATCGCATGTTGAGATGATCGAGTTGGTCTAAGGCGCCAGATTAAGGTTCTGGTCCGAAAGGGTATGGGTTCAAATCCTGCTCTCAACAATCTGATTGTTTAAAAAATAATGGAGTTCTCGACCCTTAGTTTGGTTATCTATGACACCTTCTCCAGATTTGGTTCAAATCCCACTCTCAATAATGTTTTTGTTTCACTTCCTATGACACTTGCTCCAAATTTGCTCCCGACCTTGATTTGTAATTGTATGTTGAGATGGCTGAGTTGGTCTAAGGCACCAGATTAAGGTTTTGGTCCGAAAGGGCGTGGGTTTAAATCCCACTCTCAACAATCTTTTTGTTTCACTTCCCAAAAAAGCACGAATGGGATGTGCATAATTGGTTCTCTATGACACGTGTTCCAGATTTGCTCCCGACCTTTATTTGTGATGGCATGTTGAGATGGCTGAGTTGGTCTAAGGCACCAGATTAAGGTTCTTGTCCGAAAGGGCGTGGGTTGAAATCCGACTCTTAAAGTTCCTGAGACCTTGATTTATAATTGTATGTTGAGATGGCCGAGTTGGTCTAAGGCGCCAAATTAAGATTCTGGTTCAAAAGGGCGTGGGTTGAAGTCCCAACTGGGAAGTACGAGTGATGTATTTTTTCGACCCTAGTTTGGTTATGACACCTGTTCCTGATTTGCTCCCTACCCTAGTTTGTTTATCTATGACACCTGTTCCTGATTTGCTCCCTTTGTGATCTCATGTTGAGATGGCCGAGTTGGTCTAAGGCGCTGGTTCTGGTCCAATTCCAAAGGGCATTTGTTCACATCCCACTCTCAACAATGTCTTTCAACAATGTCTTTTTGGTCGAGTTGGTCTAAAGTTCTAGTCCGAAAGGGTATGGGTTCAAATCCCACCCTCAACAATGTGTTTATTTGATTCTCAACTCTAGCACATCTATCATGGACACAAATATACAGTTTCATGTGTGTTGCGTACATCAAGCCAAAGGCAACAATGGGATTTAATTTCTCATTAAAATTTAAATTTTATTACCAACCAAATTTGGAAGTGGAGGAGAAAAATGAAAATGAAAATGAAATGAAATATAAATAGGAATTTAAACGGCGATCACTCTTTGCCCGCCAATTTCATCGCACTCTACTTTCGTCTCTCAGCGTCGCCATGTTCACCATTCACGTTGACACAGTGTATGATCTGAGGCTCGCGGTGTTGCCATTGGCTACGCTCTGCGATGAAGCCGATATCAAATGCTCAAGAGAAAAGTTGTCCATAATCGTCGTTTCTTCTCCCTATCCCTTCGTTGCATCGCTTCGAATGTTGCCTACATTCTTCACTTCCTTTCAGTTGCACGCCGACGGCGACAACTTCGAGGAACATAGGTTCAAATTTCTCCTTCAACTCTTTGCTACTAATATTTCCAATATGTACAGCGAAGATCTTTCCATGACCATCTATATCGGCGGAAACCAAAGACTCGCGCCCTTGAAATTTGAGGATCCTCGTAAGTTTATTACTCTCTACGTTTTTCGTTTTTATTCTGAAGAATCGTGATTTCGTAATTCAATTCACTGGTGATTTCTTAATCGAGGATGATTTCTCTCTGCTCTGAAATTTGATTGAAACTTTGATTTGACGATGTTAGGTCATTTCCGGATTTCTTTTGATCTCCAGAATCGTTGTGCCTAGTGTGCGATGAAATCTTTTTCTAAGTGACTCTAATTGAATTGAATGTCGTCGTTACTGTGATTTCTTGAATTGATTATGATTTCTCTCCGGCCTGTAATTTTGAATGAATCTTGAATTTTATGATTTTAGGGATTTTCACGGCCATTTTGATAGCAGGAATAGTTGTTGTTGCGACGATTTCGATTTCATTTCCGAAGAATCTTGATTCTAATTGAACTGAATGTTGTCATTCTGGCGATTCCTTTTTGACAACGATTCCCGCAATTTTGACTGAATCTTGGATTTTAGGGATTTTCAGTATATTCTTGGATTTTTTTGATCTCTAGAATAGTCGTTGTTTTGGTTTCCACTAAATTATAGAGCGATGGATTAAACGAACATGGAATTTGATATTCGATATGAAAAGAAAGAACAGAGCCGTGAATTATGTGTTCTTTTTGCCTTCATCACATATGAATCATTTTCTCTCCGTCTGTAATTGTGCATTATTTGATACATTTCTACCATCGATTCAATTTTTGAACTGTTAATTCTGATTTCAGATACTGGATATCTGCAATACTCTGCATTGGTATTGTCACATGCCCAAAATATTGATATCAGCCCAATTGATTACGGAGTTTTTGTTGCAATTCGTTCAACGGAGTTCATAAATATCGTGTCTGACTTGGTTATCCTCCCCGATGAGTTAGGTAACTTGAATTCTTCCTTTTGCAGTTAATGTAAAAGAATAGTCTTAAATTTTCTGAAATTTGTTCTCTTCTTCTGCATCAGTTTCTATCACTTTAACAGAGACGGAGGTCAAGTTCGATGCTCTAACTGGGCAAGTTACTTTCACCACAGAGGTAAGGACTAGTGATGCCTTTTCATAACCATTTTTCACAGCATTGACTAATGAAACTCAAATCTGCTCACCCATTTGTTTATAGCACAACTAAAATAGTTTAAATTCTAGTTTTGTTCGTCGATTTAATCGGGTGCTTTTAAAATGTTCATTCTAAGTCTCTAGTTTAATTTTAAAAAGTGACCCATGTTAATCTCTATTAGTAAAGGACTAAAACGAACCAAAGTTGAATGTGTAGTGACTAAAAGGGACGTTTTAAAAGTATGAAAACACTTGAACCCTGCAATGAGTACAAGGACCAAAGAAACGTTTATATATACTTTGATACTTTATTTGTTTATCGTGATTTTATTGATCTCGATATAAACTTTCCAAACACTTAGTTATCACAATCTAACTACAAATTAGAATTACTCAAATTTCAAATTTCATGGCTTATCCCAAACAATTATTGAAGATTATTGAAGATTATTGGTGGGAGTCATATATCGATTTATCCCAAACAATTGTTGGAGTCATATATCGACTGATTAAGGGAATAATCATGAACTTATAATTAAGGAATACATTTCTACTGGTATGAAGCATTTTGGAGAGAGCAAAAGTAAAGCCACTAGAGCTTATGTTTAAAGTGGATAATATCATACCATTGTGACTAGTAGAAGAGAGCCGTGTTCTTGACTACCACTAATTCATACTAAACTAAAATGGGGTGATGTGGTGCAGAATAAAGATTGCATAATTGGGGGTGTCAAGGAAGGAAAAGTATTTTACTTCATCATCACTCTGCATCCCGTGTACTTTTTCTTCCATATATCCTATACCTCCAAGTTTGTGTGGATATTCAAGACAGTCAGTTCACGCAACTTGTTGAGCTGCTGTACGGGGCTACATGCTAGCTATCTGGTCTGTTATTGACATTGGAACAATACCTGGTGAATCCAATGTGAGTTTCTCTTTGATGAATCTTTATCTGCGGAATATGCATACAATAATAGTCTTTTGATCATGTGGATGCATAATTTTGGCATACTCCACATTAGGGTTAGCTTCCGGACGTGTATATAGAATTTTATGTTTGATCTATGTTTAAAGTTTGTACAAATAGAGACATGTACGACACATAGTTCTATGAATATGATTCATTTTGTTTCATCTTTATTTGTTGTTGGGCTCGCCAAACAACACTCTTGCTTTCTTTAAGATTTAGCTAGAATTGTTCCGAGTTCTTGAAGCAACGTAAACCTTATTTATGAAGTAGAGAAGAGATCGAGGGTTGTCTTGAGAGTGAAAAACATGCACAAGCTATAAGACAATTATAATCTCTTCTCCCACCCTATCAATATCACAACTCATATTTTAAAAAAAATATTTATTTATTTTCAATTATAAATTTATTTTGTTTTTCTTAATTTTACCTTCTATCTTTTTATATATATATATATATAACTTGAAAAAAAAAAGACAAATTAACGAAATTAACATTTCAAATATATTAGAATTATGAGTGAAATAAATTAAATTATATAATAACAAAGTTCGAAACTCCAACGAGATCGATGACAGAGTTTTATTATTAATTATTATCATTTTTAATATTTGTTCAAGTGAATTGCTTTTCCAAATCTCACCTTAATTACGAAAATGTAAAAGAATTCTCTTATGAAAAATTCATAATTTATAATATATAATATAATAGGTATAATTAATTCTTTAATATGATGATTATTTATGAGTTTAAATTTATTTATTTCAACATAATTGTTAAAATTAAATTCATTTATAATTAATATTTTATAAAAGTAGAAAATATACCATATTAATTATAAATATATTATCTAAAATAATTAACATAATACAAAACATTTACCAGTTAAGATTTAATAAGCATAAATAATATATTTATAATTAATAACTAATTAAAAGGAATTAATTGGGATTAATTAATTAAAATCTCATCTCTCCAATAATTTTTTGAAATTTTAAATTCTTTAGAGAATAATATAAGGTGTTTTAAAAAGTGAAATTCGACATAACAAACAACAATATTACACATTTGGGTCGTGATAAAATTCATAAAACAAGTAGACCCTTACGAATTAAAACGAACACGAAAACGTTCGTTTAATTTAAAGCATTTTATTTTTTTTTTTTTACAAACAAACGCATTTTTCCAAGAATTAGTTTATTGTAATTCCCAAGTGAAATTGGGAAAATAAACCGTTAAGCTCGGTTACAATGCGTCGGAACATGTCCGAATCGATTGACACAAACGTCCTCAGATCAATTCGGCCTTCATCCTCGTGTATTGAACGTGCCAACGACAATCGACGGATGATCAATTTATACTCATTCCCTACAAGAACTTGCAAGAATGGATCTTGGAACAAAGATGATTAAGATATGCAAGATTGAGTTAATACTAACTTGGATGCGAAAATTGAAGGGTTAGGCGATTGAGATGGGTATCAATGAAGAGGGACATGGAGAAATATGAGCGGAGTTGCATGTGCATAATGATATTGTAAAATAATGAGTGGAGGGGAAGGGTGGAATGGTGGATTGTGTGGAAAGAATAATGGGTGAAGAATTCAGGCATTATTTGGAGGGTTGCAATGAAGCGTGGGCGAGGGTTAGGGTGGAAGACTGTGAAAGAGAGCATCTTGGAGGAATGAGTTGACATCGTTGCACTCTAGCCTCATTCACATCGTTGTGGGGGTGGGAGGAATGAGTTGGTACCTTGGATTATATAAATGGTTGAGTCATATACTTGTAGTTCATCGTGTTAATCTGACCAAACATAACTTTGTAACGACTCTATGTCTAGGATTCGGATTAGGGTTTAGAATCTGGATTCGACATCTAGTGGCCTCAACATTCTCCGGCGTTTCGTGTCTACTCCTCGCTTCTTAAGAGTGAAAACTATCATCATGAACGAGCACACATTCTTCTAGTATGTCATGCATCACAAAAAAATTATGATCTAAGTAAAGGGTGTAGGAGTGACTTTCAATTTTTTAAAGTTTTTTTTAGTCATCCTATCCTCAAGATTGGTCTCATTCAGATGTGGTCTTGGTTCATTTATGTACTCCTCCTTTACTTGAGTGTCACATGTCTATTCATATACCCCTCTCTACGTGGGTGTCACATGTCCACCAAACCTCTGCCTTGATTTGTCCTTGAACCAAATCTTACTAGGAGAGGAACTCCCATAATACCATTTGTAATGACTCGTGCCCAGAATTCAGAATCTGGATTTGGCACCTCATGACCGTGACATTCTACCACATCTCCTGTGACCTAGTTAGGTTACCTACTCCTCGTTTCTTAAGAGTGAAAACTATCTCCACAAACTAACACGAGTCTTTCCTGCATGCTTTGTCCTCACTCATATGCATTTCAGGAAAATTTATAGGTCACCCAACATAGAATTGTTCGAAGTAAAACACACTTAACTATGAAATTTTTATGATTGAGTGAATAGTATGATCAGTCATGTGAATGTATCATCTACTTCACAATGATATACTTGTATTATATAGATTGCACTAATGATATACTCGCTAAAATGCATTTTGATTAAATATGTTATATTATTGATACACCAACGTTGTACTTCGAATAAAAGTTGATATACTACTGATACATTCATGTTATACTTGAAATTATATTTAGATTAGTATAGATAAACTATTGATGATGTATTTGATATCATGAGTACTAATATACTATCGATGCATTGATATTATGTTCGTACACTGTTACTAATATGAATGAGATATTTCGAATGAATTTTGAATGGGTATTGAAATACTATTGAAATATGTTATATTTCAAATGAACTTTGAATCATTGTTGATACGAAGGAGTGTTTAAACATTGGTGACGGACTATGATACCATTTGAAACAGCCTAAGCCCACTACTAGCATATATTGACCGCTTTGGATCATTATGTATTGTTGTTAGCCGCACGGTTCTAAAACGCATTTGTTAGGGATAGATTTTCACACCCTTATAAAGAATGCTTCATTCCCTTCTCCAACCGATGTGGGATCTCACACTCTAATAACAATAGCAATGGTTACTGTTGTAAGTTTTCATGAAGATGTATTGTCATAACTCTCATTTAGTTTATAACCATTTGATTAATATTCTCATTTATTTTGGTTATTAACTCTCATTTAAGTTCATAATCGTTGATGGTTCATATTATTAGTTTGATACATGAATCATTCATGCCTATATAAAGGGTTAAAGTATTGAGTTTTGAGTGTAATTTTGTATTTGTTGAGTGACATTGGGGGAGAAACTTCGTTGAGAGACTTTGCAGTGAGAGAGTGTGAGATATACACTCTATAAACACTTTGATTATTGAGATTGGTTGCTACCCTTGGAAGTAGGAGAATTTCTTCTCTCCAAACCACGTAAATCTTTGTGTCTCTTTGTTTAATTTCTGTTAGTGGGTGCATGAGTGCAATCGATCTTACTTCGCTTATTCTACGAAAATTGGGTATCATAACCATTTTTGTGGTTGTGACATTTGGGTACAACAAGTGATATCAAAGCATTGAAGGTTGTGGCGTTTCGACACAACAAATGATATCAGAGCATTGAAAGTTGTGACATTCACGACACAACAAGTGAAGAATGTTTCATTCTCCTCTCAATCGAGATGAGATCTCATAGTCCACCTCCTTTGGAGCCCAACGTCCTTGTTGGCACTCGTTCCCTCCTCCAATTGATGTGGGACCCCCCAATCCACCTCCTCATGTCCACCTCCTTTCGGAGCTCAGCCTTTTCGCTGATACTCATTCCCTTCTCCAATTGATGTGAGACCCTCCAATCCACTTCTTTTGGGGCCAACATCCCTGCTGACACACCACCTCGTGTCCACATTCCTTCAGGGCTTAGCCTCTTCTCTGACACATCGTTTAGTGTCTGGCTCTGATACCATTTGTAACAGCACAAGCCCACCGCTAGCAGATATTGTTCTCTTTGTGTTTTTCCTTTCGAGCTTCCCTTCAAGATTTTTAAAATAGTCTACTAGAGAGAGGTTTTCACACCCTTATAAAGAACGCTTTGTTCTCACATCTAACCTCACAAAAAGAGTCGAAAGTTGTTACAAATTTCTTGATCTATGTGTACAGTTGATGTTGCTATGATGGGTTTACAAGTGATATTCAGAAGTCGAGAAAGAATTATGATTCTTAACAAAGAGGTACTGTCCTTTGATATTCAAGAAGCCATACGTTTTCTTGTTGGATGATGCATGTTGTTGTGTTGTGTAGATTAAACAATGCATAATTGGTGGCATTGGAGCTGGGAAAGAGCTTGGATTCCCAATCAGCCTCAATCCCACCACATTTTTTAATGATTTGATAACGATTGTGGATAGGGTTTGGTTGTATCTCACAACTAAACGTGTTAGTGTAATCTCTGCCCCAATTGACTTGAATGTTCGAATCGAGACCTACTTCATATCGAGTTCGATTTAGAAGTCATTTGAATTCTTATTCGGAGTATAAAATAAATAATTTTTGAAAATTTTGTTTGAGTTTTGAAAATATTTGTAAAAAGTGGGAATTAAAACGAAGAAACTCTAGCTAGGTCGTAATAGTCGATGTCTTAGCCATCAAATTTATAGATAACCTTGAGATTCTGATCGAAACCAAATGACAATGAGACTACATTTTCTTCATATTTCTTGCATTAGATTCTTGACGTACTTCTTCTAGTTGGTATTTTCTTGAGTTCGTGATTTTGAATGAGTTTCAAAGACTCTCGTAGGATATTAGATCATCAATGAATTTGAAAAATTAATTTGATAGATTATGGTAAATTTAAGTTGAATTGAGAATTCTTGTTTAACAAGTCAGTCGTAAGATGTCCTAAAGCACTTAATTGACCACAAAAATCAAGGAAGTCCAAGATAGCTTACCAAACCAATTAGCAGTTATGAGTAGTATCATCAGAGCCGAGACCACTTCCTGTTTCCTCAAATATGATATGAATGCTAATAGTGACATAGGTTGGACCAAATAACGCTCCAATCAAACAGTAGGTTCAGAATTCAGTACCGTTAAGCTTAACTCATATTTATCAGATACAATAGTACGTTAAGGCAACTTCAAGTTTCTGTCACTATCATGTGTGAAAATGGTCACAAACCCTAATGATTATAAATTATACTTCGTTGAATACACCCTATCTAAATGAATATCACAAACCCTAATCTATTTCGAGATTAATACCACAAACCCTAATTCATTTCTATTTTCAAATCCCTTACACAAAATGATACGACCCGATCAACCCGATCGACCCGAATTAAGTATTTGGTCCTTCACTAGAATAGATCAAATATCGAGCATACAAACCAATAGGGATAATGATTACACCGTGACCATTATCATTTGACTTGAAAAACCATACTCTTTTTGCTTTTGACCAACGGCTCAAATTATTGAAAAATTCTGTTTCATTGGTAATGATTTCAAATTGAGTCTCATCTCCTTCTTCAACGCCTCCAATTATGCATTCTTTTTTCTGTAGAACATTAACAAGAAATCTCTTCACTCATGAATTGAGTATCACTAACATCATGAACATGTTAATGGATAATACCTCTTGTTCTAGAGTAAACTCCTCTCCTCCTCCAGAAAATTTCGCTTTTGAATTCGATATAGTGACCATAACTACGATAGATAATAACAAGTTGTTAGAAAATAGGAGAGAAAGGGAAGAGAGCTTTGTTAAAAGCCAGACTCTTCGTAATGTTATGATATTGTCCACTCTTCCTTAAATTAGCCAACGTAGGACTCCCTCTCAACAATCCTCTCATCGAGCAAAGTACACCATAGAACCTCCCTTGAAGCCTATGGAGCCCTCAAATAGCTTTGCCTTGGGCTTCATTCTCTAATTAGCCAACGTGGGACTCCCTCTCAATAATCCTCCCCTGAGGCCTATGAAGCCCTCGAATAGTCTCTCCTTAATCGAGACTTAACTCCTTCTCTGGAATCCTAGAACAAAGGGTCTCCCCTCGAACAAAGTACACCATAGAGCTTCCCTTGAGGCCTATGGAGCCCTCGAACAACCTCCCCTTAATCAAGACTCAACTCCTTCTCTAGAGTCCTCGAACAAAGTACACCATTCGTTCGACACTTGAGTCACTTTTGACTACATCTTCGAGGCTCTCAACTTCTTTATTCAACATATGAGGATTCTATTGACATGACTAAATTAAGGGGATGACTCTAATACCATGTTAGAAATCACGACTCTCTACAATGGTATGATATTTTGTCTACTCTAAACATAAACTCTCATAACTTTGCTTTAGGGTTCCCCAAAATGCGTCATACCAATATACTTACAATAAAACCATGATCATTCCCTAAATTAACAAACGCGAAACTCCCTCCAAATAATTCTCAACAAGAAAGCGAAAAAGGGTTCGAGTTCTTATACGTTACCGTGTGTAGCATCATTCAAAAACGTCCCAAATAATGTGAATTTTCGTAAATCAATGGAGACAAAGATTCCATAGTTAATTACGCCTACGTCAACTTCTTCATGTGCTAACAATAATGGCAAGAAAGCTTCACACCCATCACAACCTACAAGAAAGAACCCACAAAAGTGAAGTTTCATGAATGAATTATGAAGCAAGAAACAAACCCAGATGGGGAAAAGGAGAGAAGAATGTTAAATTGATCAAGAAAAGAACCAAGAAGCTAATACTAACGGGAAGGACTGGAAAATATAAATTTTAGGTAAGCGTTGCCTTCCCAATGACTCATAGCAATTAAATCAAAATCAGTTTGTTTCATATCGAAGAGAATATCGTAGTAATCGTTGACCGACATGCTGGAATGGAAAGGCTTATTGCACAAGAAATGGGTGAAGAATTGAGGCATGGTTTGAAGCTCTATAATGGAGGGAGTTGGGGAAGGGCGTGAGACAATTACGGTCAATTTGGCCTTCGAGCATTTGAAATCCATGTTGTTGTAATAGTTAACTTGACCGTGTATGAAGTTTAACAAGTCTATAAAATGATGCACGCCGTGAATGCTGAATGCTAACATATTGTCAATTCAATTTCTCAGCTCATTATTGCCTTTAACTTGCTTCCTTTTATAGCCACTTATCTTATTGCATTCTTTATTTACTAGTGGGAGGGTATGAGTGTGAAAGCAACATCTTTCATCGAGGGATGTTGTAACGACTCGCTTATCGAGAATTTCAAGCTGTATACAAGATTAAATTGTTTCGTGGATTATGAGGAGTATAAACTTTCGCAAGTGTGGGTTCGGTTCGAGCTTTTTCGATAGCTTTTTCTTCCTAAAACGTTCAATAATGTTGAGGATTCTTGAAATCCCACGTTAATTCATTAAGGAGAAAATCATTGGTATATAAATGAGGGACAATATCAGGTGCTGGAGATCGAATCCAAGGCAAGAAACTTTGAATCAAGACTCCTCTCGGTGTTGGAGGAAGAGCTTGGGTGGTGGATTTGCCCATTTCGACAAGAAAATCTGAGAACAAACAGGGTTATGGACTTCTCGCTTTGCGATTTTTACCTAGATCTGAGGAGTTTCTTCCGTAATAGATCTGAAATTTTGAGGGGTGTAACTAAAAGAGAATTCACATAGGCTTCTTGAAGGAATCCCAGACGAAAATCGGAGTTTAATTGGAGTTCAGGTGAACTGGTCAAGAATGAAAAACATGAGATTTTCTGTATCTTTGGACGACCTTAATTCATTATGTATTCAAGAAAAAAATAAAGGAAAAATACGTCAGTGTAGGTGCATAGAAACTCTACGACTTTGGTGAAGTCGATCCGAGTTGTGTGCATAAAGTTACAAAAATCGGAAGAAAATAGTTTGAACACATAAAACTAATGAAGTATGGAAATTGGAAACACGCAGGAGAGAGAAACCACCGCCACACGTCACCCAACGTATCGAGGACCACGGCAGAGCCGACAAGCACCACGTGGCAATTTATGGCTGGAGAAATGCATCTAGCTCGCTAGCAGACACGCGTCAGGCATGCAAATTTGGGTCAGCCTGGGTCCAAATTGATGATCCACACGTGACCTAGGAACCACGCGAATTGATCCGCCCGCGAACCGCTCCGACCCGATGCCTACGACCTACGATTGCACATAACTTTTGCACGTGGGATTGCGTGTAGAACCAATCCAGACCGCCTATAGGCGCGTGAATTACCATTATTTCCTCCCTTCGGCCTCCGTTTTTTTGTTTTTGGCTGTGATTTCAATACTGACCTTATTATTTTATGTGAATTAGGACTCATTAAGAAAATTTTAGAATTTTTGTAACCCTCTCCAACACGAAATTCGAGTTCGGATAGGCACGAGTCAGACAAGTAAGTAACCATTTGGATTCTCATGAGCAGTACTTGTACGAACCGCTTGAAATAAGCATGCATGCTATCAAATCGATAAATCTGCTAGCCAAACCTAACATATTATAGCATGTCGATCATGGAAATGAATTAATTAAGAAAATTAATGAAATCTAGATATGATTGACTATGAAATCCATTTATATTGAGAATGTGATAGTGTATGTATGCATGATAAAGGAGGAAAGAAAATTTGTGAAATTGCTCTCGGTGAAGATGGATGTTATCTTCCCATTGAGCATGTTTGTTAATATTGCATGAAATGCTGCATGTACTCTAATGCATGATTGTTGTGTTGTCTTTCTTGTTGATAATAAGAAGAAACTACGAGCCTAGACTAGGGCGCTTGATATCGAGTAGGCTAGACAAAGACCTAGAATGGGATACCTCTAGAATACCATGCATTTAGGCCCTTGAAAGGATGACCAGCGGACCCAGTCCCTAGTATTCTAGACCATGACAAGTTTGAGAAGCCTTGCTCGAGGATCCTAGAGATGAATGAATCCAAGTCTAAGCCACAAAACCCGCACTAGAAAGACCTAGTAGGACACCATGGTAACTGTAGACAACCGAGGTAGCCCGTCGAACTTGAGAAGTGTGGATAGTGTCACTAGAACGTCAACTTCTCTCTTTACTTCGATACCACACCATCGAGTCTAAACTCCAATACTGAGATCATTGAGCTAGGCAGAGTGGGACAGGGTAGTGTGGTTTGTGCCACGACCTAGTGGTGATAGCTAAGGGGTCTCTTTAACAGGACCTCTGAGCTATAGAAACCCATCCCTAAGTGGGGGAGAGTAGAACCACGTAGGATGACCTAGTAGTTGACTGGCACACAGGGGATTACAACCCCCCGATTTTAGTGGAAGTATGGTCTCGTGGAAGGGTTATCAGCTAACCTCCACGAATGATGTTCAGAGAGCGATCCTGATTCAGATCCAACTATATTGTCCCCTCAATTTTACTTGTGTCACGACCCGAAAAAAAACATAATCTTTAAGCCGTGACTAACATTGTATGACATGTAATGTATAAACGAGAAATTCAAGGAAATCATTTGTTTCAAAAGAAAAGAACGTATCTTTATTAGAAGGACATATGTGCCTAGGTAAAAACAAGGAAAGGAACATGTGAGACAAAGTGTACTATTTAGTAAACTAGACTGACGCCCCGGGACACGCTTCCTCTGTGACAACCCACATCGATCAACGCGCCCTCTCTTGACTCGACGCCTCACGTACCTGAAAAAAAAAAGAGTATAACAGGAATGAGTATAAAAAATTATACTCAGTAAGCCACCTACTTGTAGGCTCTTATCGCACCCTAAACTTAGCAGACGATCACGGACTTTCCTTTGGCTCTAGAACAACTGAATCTGGCCTTACCTCATTAGGGCTTACTCTCTTGGAACTTATCCCTTTGGACTTCTTTGGTTCCTAGACCTTTTATTTAAACCCCTAGAGTTCCTTTTATGCTAACCTGTGTTGGACTGGTGCCTTACGAGTGGCTACCTCGGCATGGGTATGAGATTATCTGGGGTCTTGCCTAGGAAGTGAGCTGCAACCCCCTAGACTCATGATAATCCCCCTGTATTTGGGAGGGCTACCTCCCCTATTCCATCCAGCTAAACGGTCAATTACGACGTGGGTATCCCGTTTCCCATACTAAACGGCTATCGAGCAGTCGAGTCCTGATCAGGAACCCGCTGGTCCCCCACGAAGCTATATCACCATCCACACACAAGTAGCCTAAGGGTACTCTAAGGATGTTTCATGTGCCGTGATGGTCTGATAAACTAATAGGGAAAGGTTAAGTCTATTCCTTGATGGCTTGTCGCTCTAACCATAGTCTTCTAGTCTTATTCATAAAGGTGGCCATAAAAATAACCGAGTACGTACATAACTATTATCCAAAAACCTCAAACACATTTCATGCAAAGTAATCATACAAGCTCGACGGGGTGATAACATCCATCAATTCCCGGAGCACAGAGTTCGCAAATTTTCCATTCTCCATTCAGCAAAAAGATATACATATGCATAAAATAAAATGGGAATTAAAAGCATATAAGCAGTATCCAAGTAACTCTCATAACAAATCACAGCATACATCTTACGTTCAATAAACTATTTCCTACGAACATTTACGGGAAAGCTACAACCTAAAATATTCAGACTAGCATGCATGCATCCCAAGCGGTTCCTACAAGTATTACTTCCTAAATTCCGTGTGGCGACTTACTTGGATGCTACGTGCCCTTACGCAGCGTTTCCACACACTTGGCGTAACGAGAGGGGGTGATTTTTCCTCAATAAGGTCCTATTTCATACAAACAAATGGAGTTAGGATATGAATCAGGGGAAACTAGGGAAAACAGAAGCCGATCGGGCCAAAAACAGCTTACACGCGCCTCCACGCGCCAGTCACGCGCTGGGGAGCAGCCACTCGCGGGTTCCACGCGCGAGTGTCACGCGCCCAGAAATTCCTGCAGTCGCGGGTCGCGGGTTCGGGTCGGAAGCGGTGATTCGGGTGGACCGCGGGTCGTCAACTGGATTCGGTTCGCCGTGCGGGTATCGGGTCAGCCAAGGAGCGCGGGTCGGGTCGCGGAGCCAGGGACGCGTGTCGCAGGAGCGCTGGAGCCGCGTTTTCCCAGGCGGCGCTCGACGCGTGTCCGGGGGCGATTGGCGCACGCGGCCCTCTGGTTGGTTGACGCGTGGCACGCCGGCGGCTTCTCTCTCCTCCTACCAGAAAATCAAGGCTTCCGATTAGTTTTTCCGAGGTTTCTTTCCATTTTCTATCTTTCGATTCTTAACCCAAACAGAGGTGGTTTCTTCAACAAAGTTATAGATCATCTATCAACCTACGTGCCAATATTATTTTCTTGATTTTTGCTTAGTCACACGATGAGTTTCTAGCGTCGAAAAGAGGTTCGGTAACAACCTTACCGTTCTTGGATAGTCTCTCAGATCTCGTCGTTCCGTCCGTTTCCCTCACCAAGATCGGTAGCGAATCCTCCCTGGACAAAGGTAGTAGACTTAACCATTCTACTCCTAAACAAAGATCTAAGATCTGGAAGGTATAGTTCGAAATCTTACTTTGCGGGTTTTCTTTCTGATCTTGAGGAAGGAGGAGGAAATCTCCACACGAGTTCTTACTTCACTCCAAGAAGGGCTCCAGAGTACAGGTCTTGGTAGGAAATGGATTCCGTCGGCGACTCTCCGACGAAAACTCCGGCAAACCAGTTTTCTCTCTCAAACTTTCTCTCAGTTCTTCTCTCTCACTCTTCTTCTTTTGCAGGTACTCTGAGGGGAACGCTCAAGACCCCTATAATGGGCTGAGGGGTAAAATGTCCTTTTTGCCCCTCAGCCGTTTTTTTTTTGGACGTTACAAACTCTCCCCTCCTTAAAAACTTTCGTCCCCGAAAGTTGGTATCCCTTGGAAGAGTTCGGGATAGGTTCTCCTTACGTCTTCTTCTCGTTCCCAGGTTGCCTCCTCGTGTCGATGGTTACCCCATGCGACTTTTACCAAGGGAATAACTTTGTTGCGCAGACGCCTAGTGTCTCGAGCCAGAATTTTGCTGGGTCTTACCTCGTAGGACAAATCTTCCCGAAGAGGGAGGGTTTCGTGTTCAATCACGTGAGTAGGGTCTGAGGTGTACTTTCGCAGCATAGATACGTGGAACACGTTGTGAACGGCGGCAAGGTTTGGTGGTAGAGCAATCTTATACGCCACGGCCCCAACTCTCTCTAGAATCTCGAAAGGGCCTACAAACCTTGGGCTTAACTTCCCTTTCTTTCCAAACCTCGTCACCCCTCTCATAGGGGCTACCTTCACGAACACATGGTCACCCACCTCGAACTCGAGGTCCCTTCTACGCAAATCTGCATAGCTCTTCTGTCGGCTTTGTGCAGTGAGGATTCTTTGCTTAATTTTCTGCACTGCCGCGTTGGTGACCTGAACTAACTCCGGTCCCAGTAGCTGCTGCGTGCCTACTTCTTCCCAAAATACTGGTGTTCGACACCTACGCCCATACATCGCCTCAAAAGGGGCCATCTGGATGGTCGCTTGATAGCTATTATTATAAGCAAACTCTATCAGAGGTAGGTGTTCATCCCAGCACCCAGCGAAATCCAAGACACAAGCTCGCAACATATCTTCCAAAATTTGATTCAATCTTTCAGTCTGTCCGTCCGTCTGAGGATGGAATGCTGTACTAAACCTTAACTGAGTCCCCAATGCTTTTTGGAGGCTTTTCCAAAACTGAGAGGTGAATCTAGTGTCCCGATCAGACACTATAGACACCGGTACACCATGCAAGCGTACTATTTCTCTGATATACAGCTGAGCCCACCGATCCACACGATAAGTGGTTTTGCCTGGGATGAAGTGAGCCATTTTGGTAAGTCTATCAACAACTACCCAGATTACGTTGAAGTTCTGCTTAGTCTTGGGCAAGCCTGAGATAAAATCCATGCAAACTGCTTCCCATTTCCATTGCGGAACCTTTAGGGGTTGTAGCAGTCCTGCTGGACGCTGCCTCGGGGCCTTCACCTGCTGACAAGTCAAGCATCGGCTTACAAATTCTGCTATCTCCTTTTTCATCCCTGGCCACCAATAACATCCCTTAAGATCCTGATACATCTTTGTACTTCCAGGGTGGAACGTATAAGAAGTATCGTGAGCTTCTGTCATAATATCCTTAAGAATTTTCTTGTCACGGGGAACACATAAGCGATTTTTCCACAGCAGACCCCCATCTGAAGAGATTGAGTACCCCTCTGGTCTTTCAATCTCCGTCTGATTCCACAGCTTTTCAAGGTGTTCGTCAGACCTCTGAGCGTCAATAATCCGTTTTCGTAAGGTAGGTTGCATGGTCATTTGTGTTATCTGAGCAGTACCACCTTTGATTACAACATCGATTCCAGCCCTCTTCATCTCATCCTGTATTCTCTCCTGCTTAGTGATCATAGCGGAAGTATGAACTGCCTTTCTGCTCAATGCGTCCGCCACAACATTGGCCTTGCCTGGATGATACAGGATCTCGATATCGTAATCTTTTACTAATTCCAACCATCTCCTCTGCCTCATGTTAAGTTCCTTTTGCGTAAATAGGTACTTGAGACTTTTGTGATCGGTGAATACTTGAATTTTCTCTCCATACAGATAATGTCGCCACGTCTTTAGTGCAAACACCACTGCTGCTAACTCGAGGTCATGAGTAGGATAATTCCTTTCATATTCCTTCAGTTGTCTGGAAGCGTAAGCTATCACTTTACCCTTCTGCATGAGCACGCATCCAAGACCTTTTCCCGATGCGTCGCTGTACACCACAAGATTTCCTGATCCATCAGGGACTGTGAGGACTGGAGCTGTCACTAACCTCTCCTTGAGTTCCTGGAAGCTCTGCTCACAGGCTGATGTCCACAAAAAAGGCTTGCCTTTCTTAGTTAACTGAGTCAGTGCTGAAGATATCTTGGAGAAATCCTGGACGAACCTTCTGTAGTAACCAGCTAGTCCCAGAAAACTCCGTACCTCAGTGACTGTGGTCGGTCTTGGCCACTTCATCACTGCCTCAATTTTAGCTGGGTCTACTGTGATTCCTCTACTCGACACCACATGACCCAAAAACGCTACCTCAGACAGCCAAAATTCACACTTGGAAAACTTAGCGTACAGTCGCTGTGTTCTTAGTATGGTCAGAACTTTTCTCAAATGCTCTTCGTGCTCTGCCTCTGATTTGGAGTACACCAGGATATCATCAATAAACACTATAACAAAAGTGTCTAAGAATTCTTTAAACACTCTGTTCATTAATTCCATGAAGACGGCTGGTGCATTGGTAAGTCCAAAGGACATGACGAGAAATTCATAATGTCCATAGCGACTTCTAAAAGCTGTTTTGGGAATATCTTCTTCTCTTATTCTCAATTGATGGTATCCTGACCTCAAGTCAATTTTAGAGAATACCGATGCTCCCTGCAGCTGGTCAAACAAGTCGTCGATCCTCGGAAGGGGGTACTTATTCTTTATGGTGACCTTATTCAAATCTCTGTAATCTATACACAGGCGCAGGGATCCATCCTTTTTCTTGACAAACAGGACAGGGGCTCCCCAGGGCGACACACTGGGTCGTATGAAACCCTTATCCAATAGGTCCTGTAACTGTTCCTTCAATTCCCTGAGTTCTGCAGGTGCCATTCTGTAGGGTGCCTTGGAGATCGGCGCAGTTCCTGGTTCTAGGTCGATCCCGAAGTCAACTTCCCTAACAGGGGGCAAACTTGACAAATCCTCAGGAAAAACATCAACAAATTCCCTGACAATGTGCACTGACGAGACTGCCTGTTCAACACTGCTATCTAGGGTCACACTAGCTAAAAATGCACTTGCACCACCGCGGATCATCTTTCTAGCTTTAAGTGCAGTTACGACACTTGGGGTTCTTTTGGAAGTGGCTCCCTTATATGAAAAACTATCCCCTGACGGGAGTCTGAAAGTAACTATTCGAGTTTCACAATCAATAAGAGCACGATTCTCGCCTAGCCAATCCATACCCAAAATGATGTCGTAGTCTTGCATGCTTAAAACTATTAAAGTAGCTTCTAAGACTCGTCCCGACACTGTCACATTACCCCTTTTAACTCTATGCGTAGCCATTAATAACTCGTGAGCAGGGGTGGACACTGATAGAATGGTCTCCAAGGGTTCTTTTTCTAGGTGTGCTAGGTCAACGAATTCCTCGGACACAAATGAGTGTGTAGAACCCGAATCAAATAGTACAAAAGCTAAGTGATCAAAGACTGGTAACGTACCTGTAACAACCGCGTCAGGTGCATCGGCCTGCCTGCCTGTAGTTGCATGGGCTACAGCTCGCCCCTGCTGCTGTTGGGCACCCCGACCCCTTTGATTCTTTGCTACAGGTCGATTAGTGACATCGTCTCTCCGTTGAGGGCAATTTGCTGCATAGTGTCCCATCTGGCCACAATTATAGCATACATTAGTCCCCAGGCGACATTCTCCCTGGTGAGTACGCTGACACTTAAGACATTGATTCCTGTTCTGTGCCGGGGTTCTTCCGCGATTGGCAGTGCCACCGCGGGGTGGTCTGTTAGTCCTGGGATGATTTCGATTTATCTGTTTTCCCTGGACTGCGATCTGGGAGTTTTGGGTTGACCCTGCTTGTAATCTGTCAGTGCGAGGTGCATCTATGAGGGTAGCCATCTTAAGAGCTGCTGTATAGTCTGAGGATGCCTGTGATGCCACATAACCTCTAATGTTCTCCCTTAGGCCGGCGATAAAACGTTCAGCCTTAAGCTCTTCAGTACTGACATATATAGGAGAGAATCTAGACAATCTATTAAACTCCTGATCATAATCCTCCACAGATAGGTCACCCTGTTTGAGTTCATGAAATGCTGCTTGCAGCTTCATTCTAGCAGCGACTGGATAATATTTGCGGAGGTAAGCCTCTTTGAACTGAGGCCAAGAGATAGGCTCTCCAAGAGGTGCAATCAACTTCTTAGCACCCTTCCACCACAAATGAGCCTCTCCTTCCAACATATACGTTCCGCAGTGAACCTGATATTCCAGCGGACAGTTCATGTAAAAGAAGGCTTTTTCCATGGCCTCAAGCCAATTTTCTGCTGCAATAGGATCTATTTTGCCACCTTCGAAGGAAGGCGGTTTCTGCCTCTGAAAATCCTTAAGATAACGAGCCTCTATGGTCATAGTTCCAGAGTCTCTGTTTCCCAGCAATGCTGTCTGTTGTATTGCTGCCTGTTGCGTAGCTGCCTGTTGCATCGCTGTCTGTTGTAATGTTGTCTGTTGCAGCGTTGCCTGTTGAATGGCCTGTTGCATCATGGCCTGGTTAGTGACCAGTGTTTGCATCATCTGAGCCATTTGAGCTTGGTTTTCCATAGAGGTTAACATAAAAGACTGTACTACATCTGTAGTGAGGATAGTTGTTGGTTGTCTAGGTGGAACCTCCACGTTATCGGTGGGCACTGATGGGACCGCTTCAGGAGAAGGAGCAGTAGAGTCTGCGTCCGGTAAATCTTGAGTCACTGCTCTCCTCTGACTCATTCCTGACCTTGGTGCCCGTGGTATAGGACATTCAAACCATTCAGGCATTTCTTCAACCTCCTCTTGAGGTTCAGGTACAGGTTGTTCCGCCTCAGGAGACGGGACATCAGTGTTCTGAGCGACTCTTCTTCTTCCCCTTCTAGGTCCAGGCCCGAGATAGGTTCCACTTCTCTTAGGTGCCATTTAGCTACCACAACGAAAACTTTGTGGTTACA